TTTTAAATATTTGTTTCAGTCAAAATTCTGACTTTGGGTTATTGGCTTGAACATTAGGTAATTACAGCCTTAGACTTTTGATTTGAGAAAGTTGAAATTTCTCTTTGTAATATTTTCCCACTGACCCATTATTTCAGAAGCCTTTTTAGTGAATCCTCTCAGATCAGTTTGGTTGTTTTATGTTGTAGATTATTAAATAGTTACAAATTGTATGATATTGCCAATGGTATGGAAAAACATCTCTTTTCAAATCTTTAAATCTCTTATGATCAAATTTATTGCATATGTATAGCAAATATACTGTTTAACAGATTGTGAACATGTAAAACAGTCACCATATCATAATAATAGTAGGGTTGCATTACCTTATTTATTCCTTAAAATACCCCAATGAGATAAAGACTGTTGTTGTTATTCTGTCTACCTCTGCCTAAACTGAGGATTGTGGACATGTGTAACTTGTCCAAGAGCTTCATCATAATTGATGAAGCAGAGTTTTAACCTGGAACTTTGACCCTACAGGTGAACTCTTATCTTCTGTGCTTTATGTTGTTTTTATCTTTCTATCTAAGGCTCATGACATGGCTCATCAGTACGATTTTTTTCATTAAACTTCTTATTTGGAGGTAATTGTGATTTCATATACAGTTGAGGGCAATAATCCAGAGAGATTCCTGGTATCGTTTACCCAATTTTCTCCAGTGCTGCTGCCTTGCAAAACTATAATACTGTATCACAACTAGTATGCTGACATTGGTTCTGTCAAGATATAGAATATATATGTATGTTTTTGTGTGTGTATGATGGAGTTTGGCTCTTGTTGCCCAGGCTGGAGTGCAATGACATGATCATGGCTCACTGCAACGTCCGACTCCCAGTCTCAACCCATTCCCCTGCCTCAGCCTCCTGAGTAGCTGGGATTTCAGGCATGCACCACCATACCCAGCTAATTTTGTATTTTTAGTAGAGACAGGGTCTCTCCATATTGGTCAGGCTGGTGTCAAACTCCCGACCTCAGGTGATCTGCCCGCCTTGGCCTCCCGAAGTGCTGGGATTATAAGCATGAGCCACCATGCCAGGTGATGGAGAATATTTCTGTAACTACAAAAATTCTTCTGATTGCCTCTTTATAGCCACATCTACCTTTCCCACTGTCATTTTAAGAGTGCAACATCTAACCAAATGGAATGATACAGCATGTAAACTTGGGAGATTGGTGTTTTATCATTCAGCATAATTCTCTGGAGATTCATCCAGGTTGCTGCATGTATCATCAGCCATTTATTTTACTACCAAGTAGTATTCCGCAGTGTGGGTGTACCATAGTTTAATATTTACCTGTTGAAAGCCATTTGGGTTGTTTCCATTGTCAGACTGTTATGAATTGAGCTGCTATAAACATTTGTGTACAGGATAAGTTTCAGTTTTTTGTGAATACATCGCCAAAGTGCAGTCGCCATGTTGTATGTTAGTTGCATGTTAGTTGCATGTGTCATTTCATAAATGAAACTGCCAAACTGTTTTCAGAGCGGCCCATGAGTTGAAATGAATTTTTATGATTTATTTTATATCCTTTGTATTTATATAATTTTATTATACCCTACGTTCAATATCAAATGCAATTTTTAATGTTTTTTTGAGGCACGGATTTGTAAGGGTCACTTTTTTTCCGGAGTGAGTCATTTAACTGTTAGTTAAGTCTGCTCAGCTTACACGGCATAATGATATCTTTTATTTTCTCTGCTCATTAATTCTACCGTGCGTGATAAAAGAATATACTTCTTAGGAGTTTTTATTCGTTATTAATAAAATAATGCCTTTTAAAAATATATTTGAAGGCACACCTAATTACTTTTGTCCTCAAAGCCCTCTTAATATTCAGGGATTGAACTGTAGAGAGTGCTTTGTTAAGTCTACAACTACATACAGGAGATATTTTATTGCAATACCTAACTATGTAAGTACCATTACCTCATTGTTCTCTGATAAAATTTGTTTATAGATGGTTCCTTAACAAGTATTCCTTGCAAATAGCTCTTGTGATAAGTATCTCTAGACAGTGGCTAGAACATAGCCTTTCCACCGGAACAGTATCAAATATATTTCGTAGTAATCTCAACTCTTGTACATAATATTGTAACCATATTGCTCATTCTGTTATATTTTTCATATTTTTTTGTGTGTGGCATCTGGCTATTGATTAGTCTTATAATTGTAATTAATTATAAATAAGAAGTTTTACTTCTTATTTCCATTTTTTTTTTCTTCAGATTATCTGTCTTTGTGGTTTTATTTTGTCTTCATGGTCCTTTTGAGATCTATGATTTCAGAGTTTACACAGTTCCAGAATGAATTTTTTACAGCTGCAAAATATTTATTTGCATAGGTATAGCTCAGAAATTAGTATTTGAAAAGTACTTTATGCGTTTTAACTCCCAAATAGGTAACAGGTGTTTAACATCACATAGGAATTCAAAAGTTACATTTCAAAGATAAAATGAATAAGAGTTTAGGAAACTTGGATCGTTTATGAACAACTATGACAAATGTGATGTATCATGTAATCACCAGCTATTTGTTCCTTCATGGACTGGAATTACCAAGTGAAACCTGTACCTCACCAAATCTTAGGAAACTATACACATAAGAATTGAGTCATTCCAGTGAATGCCAATCTTATTTTTATTTTTGTTAAAAATGAGCATTATGTGCAAAAGATAACTGTAATGAATGCTGACAGGTTATTAATCGTATGATATGAATATGAAGTCAGCAACTTTATGAAGATTTCTCAACCTTGACACTGTTGACATTTTGGCGGGATTATTTCTTATTATGGGTGTCTGTCTCATGCATTGTCGTATGTTTAGCAGCATCCTGGGTCTCTAATCATTACATGCTAGTAGCCCTCCTCCTCACAAGTGATTCCATGTAAAATGTCTCCAGATGTTGTCACATGAGGGGCAAATCTGCCCTTTTGAAAACCATCGAACTTGAATGAAATGTAATTGGAAAAAAGATGACATCCTAGAATGATTAAGAAAGTTTCAGCATGTATCCCTGGTACATGTCAACAGATTAATTTTAATTAGGTAACAGAAGGAACAAATTTTATTTCTCTGGGCGATAGTTTTTATACTAGCAGATAAGCTAGGTGTTCTTCCTTTTTCTTTTGGAGAAGAGAGTGTTTCTGTAAAGCTTCACATGCTGTTTAGGACAAGAAGACTGGCATCGCCAGAATTCAGATACTGCATTGTGGAGCCAAGGATACAGGTGTAGTTCTAGTTGTCTGGCCTTGGATCAAACTGTGACTCAAGCTGAGGGCTCTCCAAGAGACAGACAAGAACATGTTCTATTTTTATTCCTTCATCATCTTTAATCTTTGGGCTTTCTGTACTGTTAGACTTTATTTGTAAAACGTCTGAGCCCAGAGATGGGAACAGGGTTGTTTCCACTAAAATGGTAAATGGAGACACCTTTTGTCTTCTGTGCTTCTCAGTTCTGTTAGTTGCTAGATCTTTTCTGATCATTGTTCCCAGCAAAATTCATTACTCTGTTGTCCATTCTTCAAGACTTTTCTGTATGATTAGTTTTTGACTCTTGTTCCATATTTTGAGCTAAGGAGTTAATCAATGGTAATGGTTTTCTGGCCTACCCTCCCAAATCAGATTTGAATTTTGGTAGGCCTGAGACTGAAAAGACTGAGTTAAGCGGAAAATATAAAATATAAAATTGAGGCAGAGTCACCGACAAATAGATATCTCTTCAAGTCAGCTTTTTTATGCTTGTAGCACATCATAAAGCTGTATCTTGAATCTGCAAAATGGGGATCATTACTTCAAAAGACTGGAAAGTCCATCATCTGATAGAGACAGTCCATTCCAGTATCTCACACAGTATGAAGTAGTGACTGAATGATTGAATGAAGAGCATTCTGTGGGCATTATGAGGGATACAATGTGAGCCTGGATGGGCAGATTTTGACTCCTAAGAGAAATTCCTTAATTATCTTTCATGTCTTAAATTTCATTTCATATATTCTGAATCTCAAGGATCCTTCAGACCATCTCTGGAATACTCTGTCCACTTCCTCACTGGGTTTTTGAACACTGAAACACTTTCCTAGCTATCTATCTCTTCTCCAGTCCCCTGCTACTGCCAGAATTGTTTTAAATAGAAGTTTTGTTGAATCACAAAAATTTGTGTCCTTCCATTCTTGGCTTTATCTTGTCTATTCAATCTTATCTCTTACTTCTAGTAAAAAGAACCTGTTTTACAGCATGCCAGGATTTTTTTTCTTCTTTTTTATTTTCTTCTTGATTCCTGAATGTACCAAACCCTCATATTTCTTGTGTGCTTTTGCTTATGTTTTTATCCTTGTATGGGATGGACATATTTCTTCTTGAAGATCAGATTCAGATTCTTATTCATTGCTCCAGGTCTAGCTGAAGCCCACCTCTTGCTCAGGACTGTTCATAACTCATTTGCTCCCTATTTATCTCTCCTTGCTTTTCTTCTTAAAGCACTGATTATGGGCATTACTCATTTTGGCCCTTAGCAGTATATGGCTTTCTTCGAAGTGGTAACTAACAGTTTTGTGTGTACAGTTTGCCTCCTCAGCTAATTAATACATTCCTGAAAGACCAGTGTTTTGTGCTTTTAACATTATATTTAGCATATTACTGTATGCATGACAGGTACTCAGTAGAGACTTACATTAATGGCTGGCTAGGCATTGATTGTTTTCTAATTCTGTTTTAATTTGAGATACCTTGGCAAAGGAAAATCCAACAGCAATCTGTAAGAGAAATCTTCTTAGGTTATTTGTGATAGATGTATGAATCGTGGTGCTATTAATGTCATTTTGGATATGAAATATATGTCATTTTGAGCTGCTGGTAATGGAAATGTATAAATAAAAGATAAGAGTTGATATGTATCATAAAACATTCTATTGCAGAATTTTAACTTGATCTTGATTTCTTCTTTTCAAATACCAGATACTTCTCACCACTGCATGAGCGGACATTTGACAGTGCCATCGCCAAACACTTGCAAGCATGGAGACCTCATCAATGCTTTCCTCATTGAATGATGAGTGTAAATCTGACAACTACATTGAGCCTCACTACAAGGAATGGTATCGAATAGCCATTGATGTTCTGATTGAACGTGGGTTAGAAGCATACCAAGAATTTCTTGCCCGGGAACAAGTTTCAGACTTTCTTGCTGAGGAAGAAATTAATTATATTTTGAAAAATGTCCAGAAAGTTGCACAGAGCACAGCACATGGTACTGATGATTCCTGTGATGATACATCATCTTCAGGGACTTACTGGCCTACTGAGTCTGATGTGGAAGCTCCAAATCTTGACTTAGGCTGGCCATACGTGATGCCTGGACTCTTAGGGGGTACCCATATAGAGCTCCTTTTTCATCCACCAAGAGCACATCTACTTACAATAAAGGAAACTATTCGGAAGATGGTTAAAGAAGCAAGAAAGGTAATAACATTTCTACTTTGAAATGAAAAATTTGAAACACGTAGAAAAGTACAGAGAGTAATATAACAAATGTGTACGTTAATGAAAGGATCTCTATATGTATAGGCCATGACTATTATTTTTAGGAAATTTACCTATCAATACAGAGGAAGGTTGTATTTCCTATATCTTGCATATATTTAGGAGAGTGGCATTAGCTACCTGCTAAAGAAAGAGATTTGCTTTTCTTCATAATGTGCTCAAGAGACCTCTTCTCCCATAAGACCAAGGTATGTTGACTGGGAATAAGATGATTTGACACTCATAATTTGAAAGCATCTAAATTTTTCTTCCTCTCTAAAAGAAAGTAGTTGGTGGATATGCTGAAGTTTTTTTTGTGCATAACAGTACTGAATACTAATTCTTGTTCTGAATGTGATTTATGCTACTAAATAAGCCATATGTTTACTTGTCTGTTTTCCTGAGTTGTGTGGAAACAGTATAAAATTGTCATAATATAAAATTCTAAAGTAAGATTCTGAGATATTTAGCATTTTAAGGCTTTGTTCTTCTTTATCAAATATTTATATTGTCTTATACATCTCATAAATCATGTTTTAGAGCTCGGGTAAAACTGTAGAACTCTTTAATCAAGCAACAAAAGTTACTAAGAGTTTTCTGTCTGCTCAGCACCATGGTAGGCACTTTGGAGACTACAACAAAATTTCCCAAGCTCAATCTACAGTTTTAAAACGTATGGGCAAGGCCGACTGTGGTGGCACAAGCCTGTAATCCCAGCATTTTGGGAGGCTGAGGCAGGCAAATCAATTGAGGTCAGGAGTTTGAAACCACTTGGTCAACATGGCAAAACCCCATCTCTACAAAAACAACAACAGCAACAACAACAAAAAGTAAGCTGGATGTGGTGGTGGGCACCAGCAGTCCCAGCTACTCGGGAGGCTGAGACATGAGAATCGCTTGAATCCAGGAGGCGGAGGTTACAGTGAGCTGAGATCATGCCACTATATTCTAGCCTAAGTGACAGAGCGAGACCCTGTCTAAAAAAAAAAAAAAGTATGGGGAAAAAATTACAATTTTTAATTAGAAAGTGTGTATTTTTTAGTTATGACTATATGTTACAGAAATTTAGATCTAAAAAGGACCTTAGGAAGCATGCATGCATGACATTGCTTTCTTCTATGCCAATAAGACACAGAAATGCTTGCAAAAGTATGCTTTCATGAAGTACATAAATATAAGACCCTTGAATTCCTTAGTGACATGGCGGTTTATAAGACAGGCAAGTAAAAGTTAGCAGTCATGTAGGGAGACACAGTGTTCTGAAGCTAATGTCCAAGCTTTGCAGAAATATAGCAATTTTTTCCCTAACCCTTCTGAGTTCAAATAACCTATCTTTTTTAATTGTGGTAACTTCTTTCACGGTATTTTATTAAATAAAGTACTCATTCATTCCAGTTGTTAATAATTAGCTAGAGAATCAGGCGCACTCTAAGTGACCACACTTTTATTGAGTGTATTGAATGGTCATTCAGTTTTCTAAGTTGAACCATGAATATTTTTCTAAACACTATTATCCTGGGCTCTGTGAAAAAGTTATATAACTGCATTTTGTAAGGCAACATAAAAAATTTGAGGATATATATGTGTGAGTCTTTGTAATGGCAAAATAATAAATATCAAGTATTAATGTTTGCTAGTTTTGTTTGGGGACATGATATGCTTTTGAAGCACAATGTTAACAGAAAACTGAAAAAAATACATCAGTGAAGACTCAGATTCTTCTTGTGGTAACTTAGTAGTAATGCATTTATCAAACTGCATGATAGCTTTGATGGTAACTTAGTAGTAATGCATTTTGGTACTTATTGTTGTTATTATTATTGTGGTAACTTAGTAGTAATGCATTTATCAAACTGCATGATAGTTTCCTTTGGGGCATTGCATTGCTGTGACACAAAATGTTAAATCAGGAGATAATCATAAGTTTTTGGGCTAGCACTCACTGGGAACTGAACATTAGTCATGACTTTTTGATGTGTTTTTCTTTCTAATGTGGCAGCTGTGTATTTAATGAGCCTCTAAAAGTAATGTCTTCTACCTGGTCACTGTCTGTTGAGAACTCCCACTTGAATTAGCGAGCTGAAGAAAGTGAAGTCCATACTATAAAACAGTAATGTGATGTGTGCTTCTCTTTTATAATATCAATGTGGCATAAAAATACGAAATTGTGTCTTTTTTCTACTTATATGCATATATCTAAGCTGAATTCAAAGTAAGAGGATTATTTGATCTTGTAAACTGAATATATTGCCAATCAAATATAAATTACAACAGATGACTTAGCTTTTTGTGTGCATGTTTTTTGTTTTGTTTTGTTTTTTTGTTTTTCACACAGAGACAAGGTTTTCCTTTGTTATCCAGGCTGGTCTCAAACTCTTGGACTCAAGTGATCTTCCTGCCTCAGGCTCCCAAAATGCTGGGATTATAGGCATGAACTACCACACCCAGTTGTTATTTATTAAGATGTTGGGGAATGTGTTAGTTTCTACCCGGATGCAATAAATATTAAAGACAAATTGGCTGTCTTTGCATGGAACATGTATTTCTCAATTATTTTGGAAGGTTCTTCATATGTCCCCATATCTACTTAAAGATTTTTGAAGGATTAAATACTCTGGGAAAAAATGTTATTGACCCCATTTTAAAAAGTTAAGATTCAAATATTATGAAATAAAAGCTTGCCCCAGAACACATTGCTTTATAAAGAATAAATGTGGTTTTCATGACTATCATTAACTCAGCAGATGTCATGCTCTTATTATCTTTCAGAATCAATGGGAGCTTAATATTCATCAGGATAGGCTTTCTGTTTTTGAATTTTTTTTTCAGAGGATCAATTATCTTTATTGGTAACTCAGTGATTACCATGTAATTGCCATGGCATTCTAAAGGGATGATCTTTTTTCTCCATAAAGTGTTTGGATAATGTGTATTTTAATGGATAAAGTTTTTTTTTTTTTTTGTTTTTGTTTTTGTTTTTGTTTTGCTTCCAAGTATCTCAGAAGGAGTCTTTTGGTAATAAACATTGTAAAACTCTACAGAGATATGAAGCCAAACCAGTAGGGCTAGACACCAGCAAAACAGAACCCAGGAAAAGATCTCAGATAAGAATTTAACTGCATTTTCACTTTTCTGTGTTTGCAGTTGAGATAAGGTACTTAGGAAAATCATGCCATTTAATGAAAAAATCTGAAATTAATGAAAAGAATATAAAAGATGTCTGCTTAAAGGACCAAACATTTGAAGTCTCATTATAAACACCAAGTTAAGTTTCCAGTCTCTTGTGAAAGGAATTAAAAATGATTCTCAATCGCAACTGGTTTTACTGGAAAGAGCTGAAACATTTTTTGTTTTTGAATTTTAGTAATGTATATGCTCTCATTTCTAGCTTAAGTTATATAGTTAAATGACCTCTTGATCATTTTGCTTTTATAAGCAGAACGTGATCTTTATAGTATTACAAAAATCTATACTTTTTTACTTATTAATTTTGTTTTTGCTATTTGTCACTTAGAAGTTGTTTAGAGTTTTTGTTTGTTTTCTTTGCTTTGTATGTTGCTTATGTTTTTTGTTTGAGAATGATATCTTGTGCGCTAAAGGGACATGTTTTAATTTACTGGTTCTTTTTTTAAAACCCTTTCTATTTTTCACTTTGTGATTGACATAATTACATTTGGGTCAACTTTATAAAGTCTGATAGTGTCTAGCAAGACTTTTCCCAGGTAATTATGTGTCTGTCAAGCAGTGTTCCCAAGATGATATATGCACATATTCCTAATTACTGTGAACTCCTCCTGTGAAAACATCCCCTTTAATTACTTAAAAAAGTCATCTTTCATTAAAGCATTTTTTTTCCTGTCCGCTCAATGGTACGTGTTTACAAAGTTATGACTTCTGAGAGTCTTGAACATCTGAATGTTTAACCACAATGTTATTTGCATCTTTGTTTTCTAATTCTAGGCTAGCTTTTTAGGTGAGATGTGAATCTTAATCTTGTGAAATATGGAATCAAGACACATAAGCAAAAAAGTCTAGTGAGAAATAGGGCAGAGTAATTTCCGATGTGCTCTGTACCACATTACCTGAGTTCAGGGCTTGGTTCCTCATTGAGTCACTGTTCTTGGGTGTGTCTGTTATGGCCTTGGGAGGCATTAGTAATGTAGAGAGATATTAACCATCAGTTGGCCCTGCAGATGCAAAGAGGAAGATGAACAGGTGATGGGGAGTCTTCCTGGGAGTGAGCTGATATAAAAGTAGACTAGACTAGAGGCTTTGTCGCTAGGTCTCAGCTAGTATAGCATTAAACAAGTCATTGTACCTCCTCAAGTATCTTCATTTATTTAGGAAAAAATATAAAGCAAAAATGTTTTCATATTTAAAAAATCTGGTGTTTCTATCCAAATCTCTAACATTGCTTACCAATTTAAGATTATTTTTATATGTTATACTTCTTGTTCATGAATTAGTTCATGATAGAAATGATTTTTATTGTGTCATGATACTTTACTTTCATCTGCATCCCTTTGGAACCACGCCCTGCCCAGCTAAGTGATATTTATATGTTTATCTGTGCCTTCATTAGACTAGAATTATCTCTGTCCTGATGTTCCTAATTTTTGTTAAGAATTTCCTTTCTACCCTATCCCTGTCCCAGCTCTCACTGAATTTTGTCATTCTTTGAATTTGAGTCAAAATTGATTTCTTCCTGGAAATGTATTTTGCTTAGTTAAATTTAATGACATTACCATCCTGGAACATTAAGTTGAACATTTCTTCTGTGAATAAAATGCATTACTTGTTAATATATATTTATGTTTGAGTATGTGTGAGAGAGAGGGAATGAGAGGAGAAGGGGGGGAAAGAGAGGGAAGGTGGAAGAAAGGGAGAGTAACAGGGTCAGAAAGAGAGGAGAGGAGGGAGGGAGGAAGGGAGAGAGAAAA